AAGCAGCCGTTAACTACTATAATACTTGCATGAGTGGGTTTTTTGAGGTCCTGGAATGCTTTACAAACGCTGATAAGCTTAACTGGTAAAAGAAGTCAAGATACAAAGGATAAATGACTAATGGCCATATATGACCTGTGATCACACAAGTCTCTCTTATTAGGACTGACAGTACTTGATATAATATTTTTCATTATTTATACCTCAGAGTACTTTGCAAAAGGAAGTCATCATCTTTACCCTGGACAGATGGAGACATCAAAGCAAGGAGGGGGAAACTAGTTATTCCTCTTCCAATCTATTGACCCAAACAGTGTGGTTTTTAGAGAACATGGAATATGTGGCAGGCTATTTGACGAGAAAAAAAAAAAAAAGAACAAAACTGTATCACTGTGAACTGCAGATAAATTTAGATACATTCTAGTGAATATTTACTGAATTTTCAGGGGAAGTTAACAGGAAACTTTTTTAATTACTTAGTTTCACTTATGCTTTCAAGACTTTTTCCTTAGGTATCTTACAACATTTTCTCATCTACCTAAATGCATTATTCCTGTTCTTGAGAAAAAGCTGTCAATATTTAGCATGTTTGTAAGAGTATCTTAAGTAAAGCTGAAGACAGCATGATGAGCTGTTCTGCATCCCAGAGGTTCACTGCTCTTTCTGTGCTTATTTTTAGCTACTATAGGACCCCCCAAAGTGAACAGCGTGACTGTAAGCTCTGACTCACTTGTAATTAGTGTCACACCCCCTTTTGGATCTGAAACAGGCGACTTTCTTCAGTATCATGTGTTGTACTGGGAGAATGCAACAAGTACTACTAAAAAAGTAAGAATTCTCTCCGATTTATTTTGTTCATAATGCCTTTGTGACTAAGAGATACAAGTTGGTGTCTCTTGGAAAAACAGCCGAAATGGAGGAAGAAAACTAATAATACCTTTTTTTCTCTAGCAGCAAAGGTCCACCATTTGGTGTCTTGAAAAAAGGTTAATTTGCTCATGGCACAAGTATTGCATGTATTACAAAACTTTCAAAACCACCTTTTTTTTTTTCTCCAGATGAAACTATGGTCAAATCACATTGCAGATCAAGGGAGAGAATCCACAAACTGTCAAAGGTGGCTTTAAACTGGCACTTAGATTCCAAAGTTTGCTTAGGCCATTTGGAAAACTCTGGAATATCTTTCCTCCTTTCCCATGCTGGGCTTGTTTGTGCTGGCTGCTTTGGCCTGATATTGCCTATTCCTAGGGCAGAGAAAGGCAGAGTTATTAGAAACATGCTGGGGACAGCTGGGATGAGCTGTCCCTGTTCATATTGAGACTTAGAGGTGTTGGTCTCATGGTGTGCTTATGCTGCTGTTTGGGGCCCTGGAAATTGTGTTCTTGACAGGCCAGCATTGCAGGGGAGGCATTAAATTAGACTTGAGGGGGAAAAAAATAAAAGAATTTTCAAAAGAACGCCATTCTAAAGTCAAATGTTTAAAAAACAGAAGCAGAAAAAAAATAATTTATTTAAAACCCCCTCTTGTTTCAAAGACCTTGCTAAATCTGAAACGCCTCCACTTCCTTCCTCTCTTGCACCAATGTGTATTTTTCTGACACGCATAAAATACCTTCACGTTTGAGGTTCAGACAAGAAGTCACTCTTGTACGCTTCTGTAGGCTTCACCGAGGCCGTTATCCTAGCCCCTTACAGATTAAAAATTCCCCAAAGACTCTGGTGGCCGTGTGGAGACTGTGGAGGTTTTGCATTTTCCCACCAGCTGTTTTCCTCCCCAGTAGAAGGAGCTGAGGTGGTGGAAGCTCTTCACTGAACTACACTTCGTCAGTCGCCTCTGATGGAGGAGGCACTCCCCATGGCTTGCTTTTTCCTCCCCCTTCCTATATTGTGCTTGCTGCCTGAGCTGTTGCAGCTCAGGTCAAAGCGTCCGGCAGCATAGCGTGGATAAAAGGAGACCTTGCATCAGTTTTCATTCCTCTGCTGTTCGTGCCCTTATAGATGGTTTTAAATGGTCAGGCTTAATTTCATTTAAAAATAATGACATTTCAAATGTATTCAAGTAGGAAAGTTGAAATATATTTCATTGTTTGGAAAGATGAATTATGAAAAATAAAATCTGTGCTTTTTCAATGTGAAACAAATATGGGGAGGGGTTTTGTGTTGAAGACAGGTCTGGTTTTTACAGTAACACATATATATATTTTTTTTGTCTTTTAAACAGGAGATGAAGACAAGCAATACACTATTCAAAATTGAAAATCTAAAGGAATTGACACTTTATTGTTTTAGAATACGAGTAGAATTGATGACGCATTCAGATCTCCAGTTATTTGGACTGCAAAGTGTCCCAGAGTGTAGCAGAACTTCAGTCAGTGGTATAAATCAAATTTTGTGATTTTTATTTTTCTTTTTTTTGTTTTAAATGTAATGTGATGAGTGTAGAACTCATCTTGGATCACGTAACTGGTCACTTACATACCCGTATTTGTCAGGAGTGCTAAGAGAGCACCGTGGACAGTAGTTCACAATTGTCATTAATGGCAAAATAATGAGTTTTTCAGTCAGCAATCGAGGGTCTGTGCTGTACTCTTGCCCTCGTCCTTTTCCTTCAGAAATACTGTTATGGGTATTACTTTCTAGAAGTATGGAAAGAAACAAAATACAACTATTGGGTCTTTAGAGGAAGTCACTGAAGAAGGATATGGTGTTACTCTTGCAAATCCTCTCCCTCAGCCACTGTCTCCTGCAAGACGGGAGCGTCCCTCTCCTCTCTGACCCGCTTCCTCCTCTGACATTTCGTGGGTTTGTACGAGATAAGAGAGAGAGGGAGGAGAGAGTGTGTGCAAGATAACGGAGTTTGTCGCTCTCTTGAATCGCATGCAGGCACAACCCATCCTTAGCATACCTTGAACAGACTGGAAGATGTCGCAGGTGCTACCGGCTTGTGCTGTTTCTGCAGCCCCACAGGAGCTGACCTCCTGGGTCGTGTTGACCAAGTACTTGATCTCAAGCCCCCAGGCTGTGATCTTGGAGTCTGTGATGCTCCCTTTGCTGAAGGGGGCGGGGGTGTGTGTTCTGAAAGAGTAGCCCCTGGCATTAATGGCCCTTGCTGACAACTTGTGGCCAGGACAGATTGCGTTCCCTGCCTGCCCTCTGCCCCCCACCCCAGCACTGCATCTGCCTTGCTAGCGTGCCAAGCAGAAGCTTGCTTTAGGCTGCGTGATTAAGGGGAAGAAGCTTGTGGGAGCTGGTGACTGCAAGTGGAATCACAAAACGAGCTACTTCTGAACACAGGTGTTTAGAGTGCATCTATAGTGGATATCTTACAGCCTTGGAAGTTACACTTTGATTACCAAGTACAGTAAATTTCAGCTTGCTGTATGTTGTTTTATGTTTGATGATGTATATATATGAACCTACCATATGTACATGGTTTGTGGTTTGCTTTTTTTGTTTTTCCAGAGGCAACCAGAGCTGGATATATTATACTAATATTTGTGTTGGTGTTACTCGCGGTACATCTGGTAACTGTTGGTTTGTTTCTTCTATGGAGACACAAAAAAACAATTAAATATTTGTCTCAGCCACCTTTAGGAATCCCATCACACTTTGAAGAGGTATGTGTAGACATTTTATTTTTCTCCCACCCCCACCCCATAAAAGACAGTGATGATCTTGGAGTGAATATGAACAAAGCTGGTTGTTGTATGACAGAAATAGATATAAATAATTGTTGACTTTAATGTAAACTGTTACTCTTGTCCTATATGATTTCCCACTTTATTCCTCTTTTACTCAACTGAATTATTTTTTTCCCCCTGCACTAAGATACAAATGCTGCTATAATCCTGTTATGAAACCAGGGTAAGACTATGTTCCTTGGCTACCCCTTGTCCACCCCTTCCTTTGCTTATCTAAGTCATCAGGCCTGAAACAGCTGCTCACTTCAAGCAGAAAGCTTTTGTGTGCTGCAGAACATGTACTCGAGACCCCAGGCTCTGATTAGAAGTCAAATATGGAAAAGCGTCCTAAGAGCAAGGACTGACTTGAAGACTGAGGACTACCTAGGGGAACGTTCTTGGGCTTTTTCTTTTTCTTTTTTTTTTTTTTTTCTCCTGTAGTTTTAGCAATACTCGGATGAAAAAGTCATCCTGGGACTTTTTTCCTCCTTGTAGCTCACACATTTCTGTACTGAACAATGCTGTTTGAGTCCTGTTCATCTTCCTCTTTTTAGTACTTAAACAGGAAGTAGCCTTTCAAGCAAAGTTCTTGATTTTTTTAAAAGTTCCTGTTCAGCATGCATTCCATATGTTTAAAAGCTTGTGTCTGCTTGTGATTCTTTGAGGTGTATTTCTCTGTATATATCCATGTGCCAGAGCAGTCCATTGTGCTATGGTCGTTCTGTGATTGTGGAGCTGTTTGTCCAGATTTTTATGGATGTATGGGTGAATGAACCCAGACTTTCTGCAGAATCCCAAGTACATCGTTGTCTCTCTTCATGCTACCTCAGCTGCCATTTCATGGGGGCTCAGTGGGGACAGCTGTATCACAAATCAAGCAAAGTAAATCTCGTGCAGGAAAAAAAAAATAAATCCATGTACAGTGTACTAAAATAGTGCAGCCTTTCATGCAAAGGGCTTGGAGGAATAGAGTCTATCATCATGTGTTCTGGAGTAGCTGTATTAATCTGGAAAATGTGCAGCAAAAGTAGATACTCTTGGAACAACGTTGAGCCTGGTTTTGGGCAAAATGCTGGTAAGAAATGAATGAAAATCAGGAAATATGCAAAATTTTTAAAATGCATCTTTCTAAAAGGGATCAACCAGCCTGAGGCTCCTCCTCTTAAAACACCTTCCATGAGTACAGAACACTGATTTATTTTAAGGCAGTTTCATATGTCCTCTTTTAGGGTTCCAGAAAAATCACATCCTTCCTTCTTTTACAGAAGGGTATCCGCCTTCAGAGTCAGAGTTACAGGGAGCAGTTCTACTGCAGAAATGCCTTCACATAGCAAAGCCAAACTGATGTTATGTCTTGAATTTGCTGAAGTGGATATATTTGAGGTTCCCGTAGGGAGCATCTGTTTTTAATACACCTGAAAAAATAATCCTGTTGCTCATTACTCACTAGCCCTGCTATGGTTACAGAGCAAGTGGCGCCTTAACTGAAACTAAGGTTAATTTTGTCCCACAACAGACGTGACTTGAGCTGTGGTCCCGTCTCCGCCAGATGATGACACCTCCTACAGTACAGAACAAGCTTTTGAGTAAAACTACTAGCTACATCAGTCTGTTAACAATGTGAAGGTGTTCCTGTCTGTGTTCCAGACATTTACTTTTTTTTTTTTTTCCTTAAATCAGGGAAAAAGGGTTCAATGGCAAATTTTTTTTTTTTTGTTTAGTACACGAAGTAGTAGATGGCTCCAACTTCCCATGAAACACAAGACAAGCTTAGTGATAAGGAGAGTATATGGGGGTGGCAGGAGGAACAGAAAGCATTTCCTCTGGCCTACATTTTTTTTTTCTAGTGCTTTTCTTTGATTTATGCATCCATTGTAAAGCTGATGACTTAATTTTGGAAGAAAGAGGAGCAGAGAGGAAGTCAAATCAAAAAGTAATTACAAGAGAAGAATGCAACTCAGGTTTTCTGGTAACAATAAAAGATGCAGATCTGACTTGCCAGACACTGACCAAACCAGAATCTTAGATCTTATCCAAGCTGTCAGTTGCTAGTTTCCTGCAGTTGGAGGGTATGTCCCTAGCTGTGTAATAAAGAAGTGTTTTCTTCTGCAGCTTTTTCTTAACTAGTAGGAATTTGCTTGAACTGACATAAAAAGAGTATCAGCCAAAATTTGTTTAAAAAAAAAAAAAAAGGAAATGCAGACTGCTTTAAGTCATTTAAATGGATATTTTCATGATTGATTCCCCCCCCCCCCCAAGGTGCAATATAGTTTTGAGGAAATCCAGAATAGAATACACCTTTAACAGCTCTCGTGGTGAATTCTGGTCTGAAGCAACTTGCCTATAGGGGGTGGTACCTGCTCCATTGCTGTAATTTCTAATACGTTTGTTCTGTGGATAGCTAGCTGAACTGTTGTCTCTGGCTTTTTTTCCAGTATTTGAAAGACCCTAGCATGCCTGTTTTAGAGGTGTTGGACAATTACATCGAGGATGAGCCCCACGATTCCTTCTCTCTTGTGTTTTGTGGAGAAGAAAGCCAAGCTGGCGGCAACAGTTTGGATGGCCATGCTCATTCACACAGCATCTCCAGTGACAGTGAAGTAACTTAAGCGGTGCCCTGGCAAGAATGCCTGTACCAAGTCTTTGCAGAGGTTCCCGCTCATGAGCAGCGCTCTGTGGCTACTGGCAGGACAGGTGACGAGCTCGGGACAAAATGCAGCTGCTGACAAATCCCAAGCACGATGTTGCTTCCTGAGAACAGCCTGGACCCCGAGCCTGTGTTTTAACAGCCTCTGCTGTGCTAGAACAGCAACTGTGTTTGCCAAAAAGACGTAAGGGGTAGAACGTGAAACGGAAATGAACACTAAATTGCCCAAAGACAGATGCTTATAAAATGCTTATAGTAACACCATCGTATTTCCCACCCCAAATTGAAATAAAGCTTTGAGAAATAATGGCACTTTGTGGTAGGATGTAATACAACCTGAAATTCTTCACTTCAGTGAGTGAGTAATTGCACTGTGAATTACTTTAATCATGGCTTTTGTTCTGTTGCCTTATTTGTGCAGACTGTGTACCACTCAATGTGTATTATATCCACCCCAGTATGCTTTTCTGAATCATTTTTAGTACACGCAGTCTTCTATGGCAGTTTAAAAAGAAACTTTAAAGTACTTTACTCTCCTGGGCAAAGAAAACTGCTCCTACTATCTGCCTCCTAACACATTCGTAAGAAGCATTAATCATGCGTGAGACAGCACAGGCAAACTTTTTACAATAATTTTGCTCAGAATGTATATAATTTGTATCAGTAATTATCAGACACTAAAATCTCTTGTTGAATATCAGATTAGTCCTGCAAATGAAAAGTTGACTGAGAGTTCTGGTTTGTGTCCCTTAAAGCAGAAGACTGCAAGTTAAGCCTCCCATCACACTCCTGTGGGGTCTGGGAGGAGTCTAATAAAACACAAAGAACAAGTGAACCACTTCTGTACTAAAATGATTGTTTTTATTTGTTTGTTTGACCTTTTTCCTGGGTTTGGTACAAGTTGTTTAAAAAAAAAAAAACTGCTTGGTTATTTGCAGATGACTTGTTCAAAGGTCTGTTAATGAACCTGGTCGCTGTCAGAGCTGTGGGTTATGGGAGGTAATGCTGTTCTACCGCTTCCGGGAATACACAAGACTAGTATGACAAATCAGTAACACTTTTTTTTTCCCTAAAAGCTTCGTGAGGTTGTTCCCTTGTGCTTAGGCAACATGCCAAGACAATGTAGTTGTCTGACGACTTAGTCATAATTCAAGCCTGGTACAAATTTTCAAGTGAGCCACAAGCTGCACAACACCTGCTTTTAAGTTCATCCACATTCTTTTCATATACTGTGCCGTAAACAAAGAACCACAAGCTCACAAAAGGAACAACCTAAATGCACGCCAGCGGACATAAATAAGGCAGCAGTTAAAACCTCACCCGTGACTATTTAGCAATACAGCATACAACTTCCTGAATAAGTCCTACACTAGACTTCTGTTAGAGAGAGTTGTTACTGCATATTTTCAGTTACACAAACAGGCCAAGATTAAAAACCTCTTGTTAGGAGTAACTCAAGGGCTGTCTTCACAACTGGTGCTGTAGCAGGCCAAGGTGTTTTACCTAAAATGAGCTTCACTATTTTGCAAACGTAAGAGCAAGTTTATTGCAGTTTTCTGAAATTACAACCCAACAGTCAACTGATGTACAACGCTGTGATAAGCACCAGTGACTGTATCGGAACTCACTGCAGGATGGTGAAACGGGGATGAAGTTAATCTAGCCAGTAGCACAATTTCAGCCACAGTATTTGCTTCATATTCTGTCCACTGGAGAGATTCCCACAAGGGAGCAGTTAGATGACTAACAGCATACAGTAACCACACACAGAAGTTATGGTCTGCAGTTCGCTACCATTTGGTCAGCAGTCTTGATACATGGAAAGTTACAAAAGCTTTTAGACGCAAGGCAGATTTGAACGCTTTAAAAACCACATAGAACTCATGAGACAAGGAAGTCGCCGCCAGCAAGATGAATCCACAAGATCAGTCCGCAGCTGTAAAACATCACTGTTCTCCCTCTCTGTATACTCCAGCTAGAAGAAACTGGGTTTCAATAATGGAAGCATTCCCATAAAGTGCCCGTGAAATTTAGGAGATAAATACATTTTAACTGGGGCAAATGGCAGTCCTAAAACTGGCAATTATTTCAAGGTAAGATTGTGAGCAATAAATATATCTCCACTTGAAATGCTCACCTTTTAAACAGAAAAGGTAATGGCTAGCAGGATAACTGTTCATTTATCAGCAAAAAGCTTCCCCTGAGGAAAATTACGCTAGCATCATTTGAAAGATGTTAGTCTGACTCTGATTTATTCTTTATATTCCTTAAGTATGACTGGCATCAGTTTGATTTTTTTTTTTTTTTTTTAATTCTAGCATCAGTACGTACGTTAAATACTAATTGGTATCTATTACAATGAACAGCATGAAATTAATTCTAAGGACTGCGGTGCTACCAAATGTCGTTTGTGCTATAGCAATCAGAAGTCAAGAACAGTTTGATTTGCCATGCAGAAGCCACTTAGTCTAGGGCCCTGTTTAAAAATTCATAACCCTTTAAAAAAAAGTAGCTACCTTTTATTTTTCTGAACAGTTATATAAAATTCTTAAAATCAGTTCTTATCTCAGCATACAGTAGAATTTACCCTCATTAGATGCAGGCTTAGCTGGGTCACTTCTATGCACTGACTACTCCGTCGGGTTACACCGGCAGCCCTTGCGGTCAGCCCTTGCAAAAATTGGCTCTAGCTCACCTTTGCGGGAAGGTAGCAACCCCTTTTACAGGGTACAGGCTCTACCCGCTTGTTCGCCAACAGTTCCACTGAAGTCTCTGACGCACGTGAAGGTTTGGAAGATCGAGTTGTAGGAGTTGCTGGAAACCCACGTGTTAGAAGACATAAGCCTGAGGATTTCAGAAAGAAAGCCTGACATTCCCTTTTTAAGATATATACAGTCATATGTACATATTCACAAATCTGTCCTGTGAAAAGAGGGAGCTTATTACAGAAACTGTAATTTGTCTCCGTTCATACAATTTAGAAAGCAAAACAAGAACAAATAAAAGTAAATATATCTACATACATAGTACAACATAGCAACTATGGAATAGACAATGCTATATGTGAGCTCTCATCCCCACAAGTCTTCTGTTCTTCCAAACTTGTAGATCAGAGTACTAAAGGGGGGGGGAAAAAAAAAAATAATAATCAGACCACACATAAGGTGGAAAAGGTAATTTTAATAGTATCTTTATAAGCTTATACTACCCACATACCAAATCAACAGCCCTCCAGTAACCTTAACTTTGATTCAAGTCAGTATCTGGGTGTTGTACTTATATTTCATTTACAATGCATTGCTAAAACTATGAGATCCAGCTGAAGCAGCTGCTCAAATAAAAAAAATAGCCAGTCTCCCAGTAAAAGCAGCTGCCCTTCTGAAGGAAAAAAAATCTGGTATTTAAGAGATTCTAGGACCGATCCACAGAGTTACAGAGCATAAGTCTCATCCTGGCATCTGGCAATCGGCTGAACATAACGCACCATGCCAGGATAGAATCTAAGCAGCTAGATTTTAATGAGCAAATCAGAAAGAACATTGATCCTGTGGTGGATAAGCGAGATCCAAATTACAATTTGATTTCCAAAATTATCATAGAATCCTGGAATGTTTTGGGTTGGAAGGGACCCCTAGAGGTCATCTAGTCCAACCCCCAAATTGATTTTATAAGGTTGCATGCAACTACATATTGTCATGAATCAAAAAAAAAAAAAAAAAAAAAAAAAAATGATGTCGAGGGAACAAAACTAAGCACGATTTCCTTATTGTCCCTTGTATTTTAGTTTTGTTTTTTTTTTTTTTATAGCCAACAAACACATGGTAAAGAATGGCACAGTCATACTAAATCAGAAGAGAATGAAGAGGGAGGGAAATGAGGAATACTGACACTGAGAACAACAGTAGTAAGCAATGATAAGTAAAACAAGCTATACACCTGGGCACTTAACTAGAGAACTACTAATACAGCATGTTAAACTAAGGAAAAAATTGGTGGAATAACAACCAGGGCTGAAGCACAAGTCCTGAAGGAGACGCATGGTTCAGGGAATACAGACATTATGGAACAGCACCAATGGAAAAGAATCTGATTCAATCAAAGCAAAAGTTTTGGAGAAGGACATTGAGAAGGGCATCGCTGATTGACCCAGGTCTGGGCTAAGGAAAGGAGTCTATGGCAATAGATGGACTTATCAAATGTCACTGCCTAAAGTGCATGGCAGGATAAGAAACAAAGACTTTTGGTTTTTTTTAATAAAAAGGTTGTACTTTGTCTCATAGCTCATACCTAGAAAACAAATTTTAGAAGACAAAAGAAAACAAATAAACCTAAAATATATCTAATACAGAGTTCAACAGACAATAAGGCACTTTCAGAAACAAAAAGCAGTTTCAGAAATAAGTTCATCAAACTACTGAAATAAGACTAAAGATTTCAGGCATGGTGAAACTATTCTCAAAAGCTCTGCCTTCATCAGTATCGCATTTCAATCATGTGCAAGACTATGGAAGAGGTTTAGGAACTGCTACTTTCTGCAGGAACATAACTGATTTTCCAAACAGGGAAGCACAGTGGAGCCAGTTGATCTGGCTCACTGCAAAGCATTTGATATGGTACTAGAAGGAAAATTTGTTAGCACAGTAATTTAAGTGGGTGAGAACTTACACAAGAGGAGGTTATGTGAACTTTTTCTGTGACTGATCTCAGAACTTACACTAGTTAATGCTTTCATTGTCCTTTATTAATTAATAAAATTCATGGATTGCAGAATGCATTATACATATAAAAAGAGTTAGTACAGATACAGATACTTTCAAAGTGTCATATAATACACTTAATGATATTAAGTGAAATAAAGAAATACATTTAAGTGTAATATTATGAAACATACCATCATGCTCCTAGAAGAAAAATTTATCACCCTTTGTAACTGAAAGCTCATCCACTAGAAACAAATCTAGGTGTATCAATTACCAGATAATTGAGCCGTTGGTATGAAATAGTCAGGAAAAGGGCAATAGGATCTCCTACCTAGTCCTGTTCGGATATATGCCAAGGCATTTGTAGTACAGAGAGGAAAGCATTATTGCCATTATCCAAAGACACTGACAATGCGTCACCCAGAATACTGTGTATATCCTTGATCGTCCACATTCTAGAGCTGTACATTCAGGGAGACCAGAAAGAGCTGCACTAACAGGAGCATGGGGGGAATGAAGAGTCTCTCATGGGCTGAGAAGGGGTAAGTAAAAGATTGTTTCTAAGCACTGGAGCAAAGGGAGTACAAAAAGGTAGCGGAGTAAAAAAATACATAGTTTTTAAGAAATAGTTTGATCAGTCTATGCATTGAATAATATCACATCAGTTCTCTGTATAAAGTCAGTTTACTCAGTGACCCAAGAGGTCCCTTTGTCACCCTCCTCAAGCAAAGGTCAGGGTGGGTAATAAATGAAAATACGGGGGGTCCTGCACTGAGAGCAGCAAATTCCACATTTTGGAAGGTCAAGCCTGGAGTCAGCCTCCAGCTTTCAGAACTTATTTTCCAGGAGAATCCACATGCATGGAAGCAGGCAAGTGAGACATCCCTTTGGAAGGAGGGAAATTTACCCAGGTAACTTACCTGAAAAATATCAACGCATTTTGGAAAAACACTGCTAATCCAGGGTAAACATTAGTGTCTGCAAAACAAGTAACAAAGGAAATATTAAGTTCTTTTGCATTGGAAGGTGTATTTAGAACACTGCTATAGAATCATTCACTGACTACAAAATTAGATGGTAGGGGTCTGACAAGAACACGCACTTCCATTCTTCTGGATTTTCTGCATTTCGTCTGACAGGAAAAGTACTCTTCTATATGTGAAAATAAACAAACTTACTCTGTGTAACGTATGCTCCAAAAAGAATCCACATTGAAGCAATAAGTGAACCAAACATCAACATAAAGCCGATGAAGAGCCAGACACGAGCACCTGCAAGAAATATTAAAACTTCTGAGAACCATGCAGAGTATTATCCATAGTGACAGATGAGCCAATTATGATACAACTCTATTATGATACAACGTGTTAGCTTGCTGAAGGCACAAAGGGAAAGGATTAAACCCTCTATCAAGGACAAGATAAACCAAAATTTGCCTTCTCTAGAAAAACACATAGTGGGTTCCCCTTGTTTTAGTGAGCAGACACAGCTACCAGAAATTTCCCCTCATCTGTAGGCAATGCCTATAACACCACTTAGCACAACTCACAGTGGACTAATGATGAGGTACTTTGCCAAAGAAATAGTGTTTCTGAGGTAAAGTTGGCATTACAGCAGGGTACGCAAAAAAACGCTTGCTGTGTTTATTTCAGAAGGTATTTCCAGATGGGCAACATCTACCATAGCTAGACATTATCTGCTGAAAAACAAAGATGATGCCACTGAAAATAATCCACCTGCCAACTCATGGGAAAGGAAAAGTATTTCTATGCAAAGCTTCTCTCAAGCTGATTTATGAATGACACACAAAAAAGCATCATACGCTAGTTCAAAAATCAGTAAATCCTACCAGATTTCCACTGAGGCATTCTACAAATCACGTGAAAACAGATGCTGGGATCCACATGGGAAATAGTAAGGGAAAGATGCATGAAAGCAGAGAGAGGGCAGCAGGTCCACAGACACCACACAGTAGGTGACATACACAGGAAACAGAATGTTTGTGATACGTTCTAAAATAAGACATTCTTAAGGAATGTCTGCTCCATAGCCTACCGCAAGGCAGAAATTTATTTCTCCCAGCAGTGATTTGCAAAGGTTTAACCACCACTTAGAAAAAAACCCAACACCGAAATAATCAGTCTTTCAACTCAGCATGATATTTAGAGTTAATTTACCTGTTCTTCCTAAACATCCGTCACTGTAGCTGTCTCCTCTCACCTGTGCATTTGATACAGCATTTATCCTAGGAACAAAAAAGTGTATACACTTCGGATTATTAGAAAATCAATTTAAAGTCATAAGTTAAAAGCTAGCGCTTTTTAAGATGTGAAAAATTCTGGGAAATCGCTTGGCATTCTGTATAGTCACATATTATTACGTGTCAATTAATGGAAGGATTCCAACTGGGTTTCAAGCAAACCCCGTACTTGTTTGTAAGTTTTACTTAAATTTTTACATTAACAGACCTGTAAGATAAAAGAATTGCCCTTGTTAGTGATTGAAATATTCCTGGTTGCTTTCTGGCTGTTCACATTTTTAAAACATCTAAAGCCACTTCGTAGGAATAGTAACAGCCAGTGACACAGTGCTCTCATGATTATGATACAAGTTGCTTTTTGACGCCTCTCCTTCACAATGAATACCATAAGTATTCAAGTGAGAGATGCTCTGTAAGGAGGGACAATGCACTTTCTTAAAATGAGTTACATTGCTGAGGAAAAAAACCCAGAGACTTTCAGATACCAAGTGCAAGAAGGTCTTGCACATCCAAATGCATCCTTTTTTTCTCACCAATATTGTAAGATTCAATAAAAGCTATTACTTCTCCTTCAAGCATGCCACATTTACATCTTTATAACAATAGCTCTAATACTACTCCCTCTCCCATTTGAGGAAGTCTGAGGCCAGAGACAGCTGTAAAAATTATTTAAAAACAGGGGAAAATGCAGGCAAATTTTTTATATTGAGGTAAGCAACTGGGTAGCATTACATGAATTTTGATCTAGGAATCTCAACATGTATCATAGAAAGCCTATATGCATAAAGGAAGGTCTGCTTTCTTACATTCAGCCAAAGTGCATAGGAAAAGCAACTTACCCTAAACAGATGGGGGGGATAGACAGAACAATGAATTAACAGACTACGATCACAAACAACGGCCACAGGTAAAAGAAAAAAAGGCCTTTACATTGCTGTGTAAAAAGGTATGACAAGATTACTCATAAGTGATTCAGTTTTACCATATGCCACATTGTCTAGTAAAAACTGTGTTTAACAGCTCATGCTTATTTTGTAAGAACTCCCTTTATATACACTTACATGAAAAAAGCTAGTGTTGAAAACACCCCACAGGTATGGAACGCATGGTTCATTTGTTCTGGCTTAGGGTAAACTACTGCAGCATCTATCATTATCCACCAACCTGTGAAAAACTAGAAATAAAACAGACCAGCATTATGAGGCTGGAAGGGTACAGAGACAGGCAGACAAAGCACGGCAAATGTCCATGCACGCCATTGGTTTAGTTGTCTTTTAACAAGACTAAACTATTCTAGAAAGTTATTAAGTCAGACTCTAAATCTGTTCAATATGCAAGTTCTGCATAAACCTTAACACTGATGTTTTCAGAGAAGCGTTTTGGAATCGGTCACATTTTCTATTCGAATTAAGTATCAGTGTATGGCTAGATTCCCTGTAGAGCTTTAAGAACACGAATCCAGATTCTAAACACATTCAAGATACAAACTATGTATAACATGGGTGTTCTAATATACTGAATTATGCCAAAAATCCACTAAGAATTTCAATCTTCTTCAAAGAAGAGAGCGCAGAACTGGTACATCATTATCAAACAAAATGCAAAGTTATGTGACCTGTAAAAAAGCTGCCTAACAACTGCACTTCAAAAAAAAAAAAAAATACAATATTCGCAATATGTGAAACAGAAATGTAACTTTGTTGTACTGCCAAATTGGTCAACACAGTTGTGATTCACATCCTCTCAAAACTTACCAACACGCCTGCAACTATTGAAGCAATGGCATTTCGTCTTTCGCTCCAGTCAATACACTCACATTCTGGCCACCGGAAGTTGTCTAGGAATCCTGCCATCTCCTCAAAGATTAGATTGCCCGTCTTATTTTGTACTTGTACATGAATTCTTCCATTAACAACTGTGTCCTAAATACCTGAAACACAGCCAAAGACGCATGTAATACAAAACAGTAAAATCTTGAGGCGTTTGACAACTGTCACGAGCAATCCTTATAGTGCGGCTTTTTTTTGTTTTTTTACAGAAGTATTCCATAAACTCTATGGATTCTATACTGAGCTATACTGAAAAAAAGAACCTACCTTACAAACAGAATTACAAAATAAAATCATCACACAACCCCAAAGGTTATGCACTACATATAAATTATCGTATCTGAAACAGAAAAGAAATAAAATAGAATGTAATGTTTGTTCAAGTGTATGCAACACAAAAATGAAAGGAAGTAAAAAAGCAGGAGCAAAAAAGCAAATATTTCAATCTAAGTTTCATCTTCAAACCATAATCCTCTCTCTGGCATTAGCAGTTAAAAAAAGCAAAATGCAACAGGGCTCCATACGCAGGCCAGAACTGGGTCTTTGAGTCAGGCCAAGGAACTTTGCGTAAGACACCCGTATTTCCAGTCTCCAAGTAAGCCAGATAACACGGTGCCTTTCTAACATAGGAAGAAAGGAATCAACTCAGTACATCAACTAATACCAAGGGTAAAGAGTGCTCCGCTTCACAGAGAGAGGATCACACAAAACTTCAAATGCAGGAAGACGAAAGTAAAGTTAATTTAAAGTGTTAATTAAACGTTAATTAAAAAGTGTTACAAAGTGACTACTGTAACAACACAGTTCTCCCACCGATTTGGTGAGACAGTAGCTGTGAAAGATTCTGCACTACACTGCATCTCTTCTCACACTGCAAGACAATTAGCATATATAGTTGGAGTGTCAGAAATGAAAATATTTAGTTTTTCTGTTGAGCAGTGACTCACAGCCACTCAATGCCATTCTATTTTGTTTTAGTATTGTCAACATCTGTATTTTCCCTATCTGCCACAAATAATTTCCAGATACTTGTTAAAGGCTAACAACAGACAAACACCCCTTACGATTATATTACAGGAAAGACTGATGTAGAACATTTTCCTGGTTAATAATGGTAATTAGAAGTCTACACTAAGAAGTAAAATAAAAATAAATAAACAACTAAACAGAGTTTGCCTACACTACAAACACAGGCCACCTCCTATGAATAAGACAAAAAAATTTGTCCTCCTGAATCTAGTTCCAGAAGTCCATCCATAGCTATAATGCTGCCTTAAAGCATTAAAATCAATCACTCAATTCCAAAATTATTTTACTTTTGTATAGTATCTGGGCTCTACCATATAGTTATTTTCCTATTACACTTTTACCCAGCAATTTTCAGATCCTTATTCTTTCTGCAACTTTCATAGAAAATTGCCATCACAGATTTATGGCTGCTCCTTACAGCCCTCTCTTTTCCAGTCTTAAAATGGCTCCATCTGTACTTTGTTTGTTCCTCTTCAAACCCTGAACGTGTCTCTTCCTCATCCTGTGGTAATCCCTCCCTTCCCCTCCCAGCTCCTCACTGACCCACACTGGAACATGGCTCACGGTTCCCACTGCTGTCGCCTCTACAGACTACGTGGCCCTTACCCTGTGACCCGGCTGGCCAGTAAACAGACAAGCATGCTGCCCTATTCCTTCTCCCCTACAAACACAATGGTGGTTATGCCAAACCTGCCAACGTCGTTATCTTGCCTGTAAATACACTTTCAGTCATTTTCAGAATGACCGAATCTGTATTTCTTCAAATCTCTATTTTCCTTTGAAATTTTTTCCTATAATGGACCATTTAAACAGTATTAACATCTCTAAATAAAAATCACCTCCTTCAAATGTAATGTGAAGTTCTACTGCAATTCAGAAAGCAGGTCAAGAAAAGCCACTGGAAAAAATTATTTCAGGTGTCAACAACAACAGAAATTATTTAACCCCCTCTACTTGGATGCCATCCAGACATACCTCAACAAGCTGGAGAAGTGGGCTGAACAGGAACCTCCTGAAGTTCAGCACAGGGAACTGCCCAGTCTTGCACCTGGGAAGCAACAACCCCAGGCACCAGTATGTGTTGGGGGACACCCAGCTGGAAAGCAGCTTGGCACAAAAGGGCCTGGGGGTCCTGGTGGGCACCAGGTTGAACACGAGCCAGCAATGTGCCCTTGCCACAGAGAAGGCTACCAGTATCCTGGGCTCCATCAGACAAAGCACTGCCAGCAGGTAAAGGGAGGTGATCCTTCCACTCTACTCAGCAGTGGCAAGGCCACACTTGGAGCACTAGGTCCAGTTCAGGGCTCCCCAGTACAAGAGAGACGTGGACACACTGGAGGGAGTCCAGAGAAGGGCCACGATGATGATGAAGGGACTGGAGCATCTCTCCTATGAGGAAGGGCTGGGAGAGCTGGGACTGTTCTGCCTGGAGAAGAGACGGCTCAGGGGGGGATCTCATCAACGCCTATAAATACCTGAAGGGAGGGTGCGAAGAGGAGGGAGCCAGGCTCTTTTCAGCGGTGCCCAGCGACAACGGGCACAGACTGAAACACAGGAGGCTCCCTCTGAACATCGGGAAACGCTTTTTCTGTGAAGGTGACCGAGCTCTGGCACAGGTTGCCCAGGGAGGCTGTGGAGTCTCCATCCTTGGAGATATCAAAAGCCATCTGGACAACCTGACATAGGTGGCCCTGCTTGAGCAGGGGGTTGGACCAGACGTCCTCCTCTAGAGGTTCCTTCCAATCCCAGCCATTTTGCAAGTCTGTGTTACTTAAGAAATAGCCTGTTAAATTCTTGGATGACTTCATGAAAGAAAACTTCTTACTCCTGCAAAAGTGTTCCAGTTCAAAAAGCTGAAATTAAATGAAAAAATTAGTTCTCTTCTATAATTTAAAAGGTTTATACAGTTTATTTTGCCAGCTAATATACTGTCCTGGTTTCAACTGGGATAAAGTTAATTTTCTTCCTAGTAGCTGGCATAGTGCTGTGTTTTGGATTTAGGATGAGAAGAATGTTGACAACACGCTGATGTTTTAGCTGTTGCTAGGCAGTGCTTACACCAGTCAAGGACTTTTCAGCCTCCCGTGCTCTGGTGCACAAGAAGCTGTGAGGGGGCAAAGCCAGGACAGCTGAACCAAAGTGGTCAAAGGGCTATTCCAGACCATATGACATCATGCCCAGTATATGAACTGGGGGGAGTTGGCCAGGGACAGCAATCGTTGCCTGGGGAATGGGCTGGGCATCAGTCAGCAGGTAGTGAGCAACTGCATTGTGCATTACTTGCTCTGTATATTCTTTTATTGTTAATATTATTTTCTCCTCCTTTGCTGTCCTACTAAACTGTCTCTATCTCAACCCACAGGCTTTCCTTTCCCCCCCCCCCAATTCTCTCTGCCATCCCACCAGGGCAGGGGAGAAGGAGAGAGAGCCACCGTGTGATGCTTAATTGCCAACTGGGGTTAAACCATGACATATAATTAAGCCAACTTCCGATCCAAAAAGTAACTAGCACTTATCCTAGTAAAACCTTTTCAACTTTGCAAAATCAGTAATGATAAATGTTATTGAGACATCGCAAAAACCAGAATTTCTCACTGGGCGGTGAGAGGGAATTATCTGTAACAGGACCTGGCAGTTAGAAGGAGCCAAGAGATAAGGAAGCATTCGCCTTATGAGCAAGTGGTAAAAAGAACTGGTGCTGGTGACTACACCCCTGAAGAAGAGCTAAAAGACCGACAAAAGGGGCCCAGCCTAGTGTGGACAAATGCTGGAGAGGTGTGAGGCCAGCAAAGATGATCTCCGTAACTGGGGGAGGAAGGAAAAGGCGGGGAGGGGAGATGGCGACTACCAACTCATATCTAAACCCAAAGAGACTTGCATACACACACACACACCCCCCCTCCAATAGGAAGCACGAGTGATGATTTACACAGCAAGCCAGGCTAATTTAAATATAATTAACCAATATCAAATGTTACAGTGATTGCTAGCCAATAGATATGAACTTAGGTGGGTTTTCTTTAACCATGTAATGGGACAAATAGGCAGTAGTTGTTCAGAGCGGGGTGCTCGCTTTGTGGAGTTACCGCCTGGCACCCATCTCTGTGCAGAAATAAAATAAAAGCAAACAGCTGGACTCAAGTGTGTGAATTGGTCGTTGCACACTGGGTAAAGAACACGGATTTGGGATAACATTATGGATGCCCTATGCTGTAGAAAACCCTGTCTTAATTATTAAGTGGTTTTTTTAAACATTAGGTGACAAACCAGAGGCATTGTGCTGACTTCAAAAATCTGAGACTAAATTTCTCTCAACGCTTAGTTGTATTCGATGTAAAATGGAGTTTTCACAACTGCATTAGTGACAAATGAGCAAAGCTAGGGAGACTAGAAAAAGTTGATTTTTTTTTTTTTTACCTTCTAAGATACAGGGCAACCTTCTAACACAGCATATTATTTTATCTGAAATTGTATTTTTCATGCTCAATACTGGCTCACAAACCTGCAGTTTACTTTCACCTTATCTTTGTGCTCAGGAGAGAAGCACCCTATATAATGTGAATAGGCGAGATAAAGACTATCTGCTGGCAGTCTTTCCAGAGCAAAGACCAGTAACTGACAGCACAGTTCTCCTGTTTCACTGGAGTAAGATAACAGACATGAAGAAACAAGGTGCAGAGAATCTGCAACAGGACACAGACAAGAAGCCTAGAATTATTCCTACACGTGTCTGATGCCAGAAACCAGCTTTGATTTCACAAAGCAAGCTTAGTGCTAGAGCAGGCACGCAAGAATACGGCGCTAAGAGGAAACAGGTGCTAATGCAGCTGTCCTTTTTCTACGATGATCTAAACATTAATGATGCCATTCAGAATTCTGCACGGGAGTCTTTCATAGTCTTTCAAGAATGCCCCACTTAACAGTAAAAATAATTAAACGTTTCTCTCACTACTGACATAGCTCCACGTGCCGACAGACTTCACAGATACGGGACTAAAAAGCAGTGATACACCATTTCTTTCACCATTACTCAGCGTGGCTACGTTCTGTGACCAACGTGTGGATATTCCTCTCTTTCTGAGAGGACAACGCCATCTCTGATCAAATGCACACCCGATTGAGGGCACCACAAATAAGGGCTCTAGGGTTTTCATAAAAAAGGACACCGGGAAGCAGGCTGCAGGATGCCAGAACAATTCATTTGGCCTCAAGTCCAAGCAACTACTGTCCCATGCTCTCATTTAAAAGGCAAGCATAGTGCCGATCAGACTTGCTGGAAGGACAGACAGTACGGAGCCAACACAAATGCAACAGGTTGGCCACCCTCTCACAAGCTGTTAAATAAACATCTAGCTATCATACAATACAGGTTTTATCATGCTAGGGGGAAGGGATACACTGATATGCTAGAGGGAAGGGACACCATCCAGAGGGACCTTGACAAACTTGAGGGGTGGCCCCATGCAAACCTCATGCACCTGGGTTGGGACAATCCTCAGTATCAATACAGACTGGGGGACGAATGGAATGAGAGCAGCCCTGTGGAAAAAGGACATGTGCTGGCAATGCACACTTGCAGTCCAGAAAGCCAATTGTATCCTGGGCTGCACAACAAGAAGCAGGTGGAAGGAGGCGATTCTCCCCCTCTGCTCCACTCTGTAAGACCCCACCTGGAGCACTGCATCCAGCTCTGGGGTCCGCAGCACAAGACAGACATGGACCTGTCGGAGTGGGTCTAGAGGAGGGCCACAAAGATGGGGGCCTCCCATTTGGGAAGGCTGAAGCACCTCCCCTACGAAGAAAGGCTGAGAGAGTTGGGATTGTTCAGCCTGGAGAAGAGAAGTTCTAGGGAGACCTTATTGCTGCCTTTCAATATATAAAAGGGGCTTCTAAGAAAGATGGAGACTTTTAACCAGGGCCTGTAGTGACAGGACAGGGGGCAATCATTTTAAACTGAAAGAGGGTAGGTTTAGATTGGACATAAGAAAGAAATTCTTCGCTACAAGGGTGGCAAGACACTGGAACAGGTTGCTCAGAGAAGCTGTGGGTGCCCCATCATTGGAAGTGTCCAAGGTCAGGTTGGATGGGGCTTTGAGCAACCTGGTCTAGTGAAAGATGTCCCTGCCCATAGCAGGGGGGGTTGGACTAGATGATCTTTGAAGGTTCCTTCCAACCTAAACCATTCTGTGATTCTCTGATAATGTTCCATATGTATGTAGCTCTCAACACGCCTAGCAAAAGAGGAAGAAAATAATAAGCTATATTTCAGATGTGAAAAAACAGTGACATTGTGAAGCTGAGTTTCCACCAAGACCGCAAGAGTTATGCTAAAGTTTATCCTCATATGGGTTAATATGGAAATTTTAACCCAACTATATACAATATGTAATACATATAATATATGTTTTAGCCCAACTATATCCTACTACACAGACAGAAAACTCTGATGAATACACGTGCTTTCAGCTGGACTTTCTTACCTGAATAGAGGTACAAAACTCACTCTCTTGTTTTAAACTTTTACATCCACATACTTCACAGCAAGGAAGCAGGTAAAACACCTTGCATTAGCTGTCCTTCAATGCCCTTCCTACAATCTGTCTCCTCCCCTTTTCCAAGGGCAGACAGGTTCTCCCACTGTTCTCAGGAAACATTTCGCACTCATGTCCAATAACCAGAAGCACAAGAACACTTGCAAGAACAAACTGGTGACTGAAGAACTAACAAGGACAGTTATACCCACTGTAAAAATAACACTTGGTAGATGCTAGCACTCAGGTTAAAACAACTGGTATATTATGCAGACAACTGACGTGAAGTGAGAACACAAGAATCAAAGCTCAAAATTTTCATCGGAAAAGCAGTTTCCCTCTCCCAAAATGAACAGATTTCACTTGAACAAAACATTAAAAGCAGATGCAAGAAAATACAAAAAGTCTGCAAAAAGAAAAGTGTCTTAAAGCTGTGCAACAGCCCTGGAGAACCATCAGGTTAGCAAAGAATGGAACCTCCTATTT